CAGTACGTCAACCAACCAAAACTATATCTCAGACACATTAAATGTAACCTACTTTTTTCTGTGCTTGGACTTCTGTTTGACGTCAAAATTTCGCGAATAAGAATTTTACTTTAATGCACATTCTGTGGCAAGAATTGAAGTGCTTCTCAAAGTTAAAAGCATTCGAAAATAATTCCATTAAAGCACTGAAAAAATTGAATCTGAAATTCTAAGATCAAAGTTTTTCCGACTTTTCCAATATATCTAATGTGTGTTTGGCCGCAAAAACCAATCATGGGTCAGAATGTTGCAGCACTGCCTACTCTTAAACAATCGACCAAAATGAAACGGTCGTTATTCCGTAAAAATGGTCAACTATAACACCACTGACGACCGCCTGCTACAGATGAGATAAAAGACTGCAATTTAAACAACTTTTTACTCGTTTTCTCAACTGTAATTACAACGCGCATGGACCTTCATTTACAGAAAAACGCAGAAGAGCAGTTACAGCGCAGCGGTGGCGACAAGAAACTTGTCAGCGGCCGCCTACAGTTCGTGACCTTATGCAAGCGGAATAAGATAGAAAAAGGAGATAGGAAAACAAAGAAGAGTAAGCAGTAACATGATGTTACGAAAGCACAGGTCAGGGAGACAAAAAAACACAAAAAGGCGGAAGTAACGATTGAGAACATTCAGTTCTGCCAACGAGGGATGGGATGGAAAAAAAAGCGTAAGTGATGAAGAAGAATAAAAAGAGGAAGTGTTTCAGAGAGTATGTGACTCTTATGATGAAATGACCACATCTGACCATCACCAAGAAACTGAAAGCTACACTAACAAAAAGAATGGGCGGTAACTACTGGGGGAAATAGTACCTGAGCAGTAATGTGACATCGACAACAAAACATGGATTTTGCCAAACATCGATGTTAATACATCGATCAAAATTCATCTATCTTAAAGCAGGTTGACGAGCCTCTAACATTAAATTCGAGTTGAACAAAATTTATTTGACAGTGACCTTGCATATTCATTTATAATTAAAATTTAACTGAAAGGAAAAACGCCTCTCCAAGTGCGAAATACGAGGAAGGGCGAAGGAAATACCAGGATATAAGAATCATCTCGGGCGAGGCCTAGTCTACTCGCAAAGAAGGTAGTGTAAACCGCGTTCGAGTGGTTGCAACACACACACACACACACACACACACACACACACACAGTGGTACCATCAGTTATTATTTCATAATTTAACTTTTACAAAATTTTGATTATAGGAATTTTACCACCAACGAACAGAACATAAAAAACGTAAAATAACGAGTACAAAACATCGATATTAAAAAAACGTGGACTTCAATATATCGATGTTTGACATACTGTTATTTTTTATAGAAACAGGGGCGTTTTGGAAACATCGTCGTCGACGTCGCGTGCTTAGCCGTGAGGGGCCGGGCAGGCGCTGGTGGAGGCCGCGGGGACAGCCACGATCATTACGAGCGCGGCCGCTGGGCGGTCGTGGCGCTTGGGGCGATTCGGGGGACGGCCCGGGAGGGTGAACTTTTCCAGAGAACTCCCGCGCATCGTTAAGTCTAGGGAGAATCGACCGTGGCATAAAAGAGTTATAAAGAAGCAGCTTCTCTTGAGCGCGAACCGCTCGCTCGCTCGCTCCCTCCCTCCCAGAAGCCCTGCGCGCGAATGATCCTCCGTGTACCTTGCGTTTAACGGGGGATTGCTCGAGACGCGGAGGAAGTTTCGAACTTTGTAATTAAAGAGGAAAAACAATAACATCGCAAGCTTCCGACGGCGCATCCTGTGCACGTGTCTCGAGAGTTTGACGGTTGAGTCATGTGCTCTACACAGAGCAAAAAATATTAAGTTATTTTCAAAACCTGAAGTTCCCACAACATGAAGGTCTTTATTTGCTATTAGGTGTTCGTCAATTCCGAGTTATCGAACCAAGCGTTTTCATGTTCCATTCCATTACGATAATGGAACCTCGCAAATGTGAACTTTTGAGTTTCATTAAATACAATGATACTAAATCACCAGTAGGAAAATAATTCGCTCGTGTACGAAAGAAGTAGCTGGGTCAACAACAGCAACTCGGATGGCCCCTTGGAAGGCCCGTTACTTCCGACATAACAATTCCAAAGCGTTAAATATGAGTTTATGGAAGATGAAGCAAAGAGGGACGCAACATTGGTTCACAAACATCGAGAAAGGAAATGCTGCTCAAAGGAACAGTAAGACGTGGAATATTTTTCTTTATTCTATACTCGCTGAACCATCAGGAATGTGCATATCGTTTTTGTACATCGGTGAGATTCATCAGGTTCCATTGGCAAGTCCTCGCACTACTTGGTTTGTGGAGTACTGTTTTCCTATGTTTTCAACTGACGTCCTCATCCCTCTTATCTATCATCCTCTTATCACATGTCAAGTCATACTTCCTCCTTTCAATTACGGAAAGCATCTGACGTTTAAACATTACGATCGTCTCCGTTCAAGAGAGTGTCAATTTAATTTCATGTAGTACATGTAGATAACTTGAAAAATGTTGAGAAAACATGACTACGTTATCAAAAGAGATACGTTTTAACAGATACAAACATTAAAGGAACGCATGTATTTTTAATGAATGTTCTATTAAGTTGGTCAACCACATACCAAATTAGGTTGTTTCTTACCAAATTAGGTTGGTCAACCACAAATAAAATTATAACTCCAAGATGAAAACCAAAGCTTTCGCGTTTTACTTTTTCACCTTACACGTTCTTCCTGAGAAAGTATTGTAATCATGCGTCGGAAAGCGGCCTATTTTCGACAGAAAAAAACTATTATTGCTGCGGACAGGTAACGAAAAATCGTAAAAATATTGTTCCTATATACAGTAAATTACCCACAATATACAAGTTTACTATACGTAAACTATTCTATCACGTTCTATAGTCAGAATCAATGATTTGTGGGTCCTTGATACCGAAAAATCGTTTAACGGTGAATCGTGTGCCTGTCTGTGGTCAACCCAACCGCCTATAAACTGATCAGCCATTTTCTCAAAAAATGATATTCCTCGATAGATTTAAATGAATTCGGATACTTCTGAGTTTGAAACGGATATTTTGATTTTTGAGATTAATTTATAAGAAGTCTCAACATCTTCAAAACCTCAAGAATTTTCACCCAATTTTTTTTATTAAGCTTTGTCCTCGAATAGCGTAAAAGTCGATTAGCTCTTGTAGCGGTAAAGCACAAGAGTGAGGCACTCTTGAGCTGAGAGCGAAAAAAAAAGCTGCTAGTTGAAAACCCTTTTGCAGGTACATGTAGTAGTATATTGCGGAGCCGTTACAAATATTGTGAGAAAGTATGTGCTGGTGTAACAGCACTAGTTTAATCTGTAGCCCGTCACACGTCACTACCTGACCACCTGGAGTAGGAGAGCGTATGATCTGATTGTATTTTGGAATCGAATCGCGAATGTTGCCACATCATATTGCAGCGTAAAATAACATTATTAGATTTAACTGAACGTGTTGTACGAAAATAATTTGTTTGCGACACGAACAGTTATTTGCGGTTGAAAGCACAGGGCGGCAGCTGGGAGTGAAGCCGGGGGTGTTGTGGAACGGTGAAACGGCAGGGGCGAGTCCGGAGGCCGGGGTACAGGCGTTGGCGTAAGCACAGGAGAGAGGTAAGAGGCGTGGCCGTAGAGGCGTGGGTTGGGCCGGGAGCGTGGGCTGGCAGTCGCGGGTGGGGCAAGCCGTGGCGCTGGGAGAGACGTCGGGCGGGGGGGCAGAGCGTGACGAGGACAGAGGCGTGGGTAGAGGACGTGCCAGCCTACCCGACTGCGCCCATAGGGGGCAAAGACGGGGGCAGAGGCGTGGGGCAGGGAAGAGGTATGGGCTGGGCAGAGACTGGGCAGAGGCGGGGACGCGACGCAAAGTCTGCGGGGTGACACAGGCATGGACATGGGAAGTCAGGCAGAGTCTAAACTGTATGTGGAGGGCGATAGATGCAGGAGACTGCAGGCAGGAGGCGAGAGGAGGGGTGCGAGAACGAGGCAGCGGGACGGTGCGGGCGATGAGCGGTGGCGTTGGCGGCGGGCCGCGGGCGCTGCGGTCGCGCGACTGCGAGAGCGCGCGGCCCGCGCCGATGGGAGCGCGATAGGCAAACGCCATCGTTGCGCAGCGGCAGCCGATTGTTTCAGGCCGGAGCCCGTGCCGGCGGGATGCGGCGAGGCACGTTGCGCGGCGCGGCGCCGGCTCGGACGCGCCGCTCGGCTCGCGGGCGCCCGTGGATAAGCACGGGCGCTGCTTTGTCTCGCCCCCCGCCCCCCCCCCCCCGCGCCTTACACACGGTCTCAAACCCCTCTGAACTCTTATGCAACAGTATGGAAAACTTTAACAAACGCCTCCCAACACACAAACACACACACAACACACACACACACACACACACACACACACACCACACACACACACACACAGGACAAAATGGGACAACATCGTCCAAATTGAGTCGGAAATGGGAGGCAACATATACAACACAGCTTAACTGATCCCATCTTTTTTCAGCATACTCTCCTTCAGCTATTTCTTAGGTTTCAAATCTAACATCACAGGAAAGCATTTTACAAAGGTTGCTTGAATAAAAATGAGAATCTCTGAGTGAGCACTTATTTTCCACAGTAAAATTTTATTGTATCTGAGATCGAACGGGTGGTCAGTTACGAAGCAAAATTAACGCCTAGAAACCAATTAAACAAATTTAAAAATATGGTTCATTCCGTATTGGAGTAATTTTAACGTGATATATTCAAGACGTTGTTTACCCCACTCACAAAACGTTTTACATCACCTTATTATATTTTAGAGCGCGTTGCGAAAGTGTGGCGCAAACTAATACTAGAGAATCATTGGATTTAAAATGGGGACTTACTTGGAATGAGGGATTAATTAAAATAGGTATTACCTGGAAGAAAATGACGCGTTGCTCATATCTGTGTGTACACCTCGAAATAGAGCATTTAAAAACACTATGTATCTAGTATATAAATAATTTCGAATGAGCGCTGAGATTGAAAAGAAAACTACGCAACCTTCAGTCACGATAAGAGTACCTTCGATTTGGCACTTTAATACTCAGGAACTCAGAGGAAAATGAAAAAAATCACTAATTTCCAATGAATACAAAAACTGAAAATAAATTCTGCCTCTCGTCATTTGAGAGATGTCTACAGTTTCATTAGAAAACCAGGAACTGAAAAAAAAAATACAAAAACAATTGAAGTTTCTATTTTGACCGAAAAATGCTTATATTTGATTGTGTTACTTTATACTGCGCGTACTGAATGCTCATACTGCACGTACTTTTGTCATATTGTGCGTACCGAATGAATTCACATGCTCCTTATGGTAGGTGATGCAATGTGACAGCACTGCTCACAGAAAGAAATCGTCCGCCATTAAATATTTGCAATTTACGTTTTTCATTATGGAGCAGCACTATTTTTTTCGTATTTAAAGATCTGTTGTATAGCATATTCGTATATACTACAATACTTATTGTAGTATTTGTGAAGACAGTTTTGTTAAAATATTTAATTTATTATAGTGTTATTCCAGTGTGTAAAACCCTCGAATAACGTTGTTTTGTTCACGAGTATTTTTGCGCCGCAGGCTACTAGCCAAATATAATGAAGTGCATTCTAGTTCTCTCGTGTTGCGCCGTCATCTCTCTCAGCAATAAACCGTAATTTCGAGAACACGATTAGTTTAATTATCGATTGATGGTATCTCTTTGTTTTGTCTTCTATGATCACGTAATATAAAGGGAGCATTGTTACTGTGCAAGGGTCAGGGGACTTGTTACTACGGCAGGTCAATTTTCATCACGAGACGCGATGCACTTCACTTTAATGCGCTGGTCGATGCACATTTTGAAACATCATACAAATACAAAATGTAAAGCAATTCGCGCTATACACACAAAAAAATGCGCATGTAACGCGGACCTTTTGGAAAAATGCTACATGCGATTTTTCACGCTCGAGAAAATAACTCCCGTCCTAGTCCTTTCATCACTAGTAAAACATTATCATTCATAACAGAAATTGTCACATTCCAGATTATAACAATTTTCTGTTCGTAATCATATTCTATCATAATAATTCACAACTGGTCATTACGACGTGATGTGCGAAAAGGTCACGGCATAAGTGTTTTTGAACCTGTTTGCGGCGCCAAATATTTACGAGAAAAATATGCTAATACATCTCACATGTCTGAAACCCTTCCACGCAATGCTCTGTAATTTTCTTCTCGTAAAGTGGAGCGAAATTTTGTTTCACAGGTGTACGTCAACTGTGTGATAAAGATTTTTTTCTTAAACCAAAATTTACGCTACGTCCTCAATTCGAATATGCAATTTCGAAAGTATTTTGCCCACCCAAAAGCACCTATGTTTCATTAACCAATCCAACTAAGACGTTCCGATGAATTTTAGTAGATCTTCGTAACTTTTCTCAAAACATCCCTAAAATGTTCCAAATTACGTACGTTCATTTCATTGGGACTAAAAACCGGTAAAAACTTTCAAATTGAATTTATTCCTGCATTAATCTCCCTTTTATCATCGAATTAGCACAGTTTTCGAAAGTAATAAATGAGTCAAAGAACCATTAGCTGCCTGGCAGTAAATGAGTAAGGTAGTGAATTAAATATGTACGGAATAAGCCATAAACCCGTCTTCCACTCAAATTACACCTTACGGCCAAGTATTTATTAACAAAGAATAAGTGGAACTTTCCTTACAACCTAAGGCGGTGTAAGCCCAAAGTAATAAAAGTGTAATGCGATAGGCATTTAAGAGAGGTTCATACGAAATGCCGACGAGTACGAATCAGCACGTCAAAATTCGCACGTGCACACGTTGATTTTCAATTACACGCCTAACAACGTTCGGACCACAACTCTTCAGAACCTGCGTCACGCGTGGGGTTCGCTGTCGGTTTCGCTAGTTTAAGGAGGCAATGTCATACTCCGTGTTTAAGACGGGACGTCGGATCTCTGGAGTAGGCGTCCTAGGGACTGCGAAATTCTACTACGTGTGAGCTTGCCTCAGCGATTCGAAAGTCTCAATTAATAAACTGGGAGAAGCACAAAATAAACACTAAGGAAAATGCATGGAATACTACACAAAAGAAAATAAATGTGAAAAACAAAATAACTATTAAACACTAGGTGTGTGATCAAAAAACCTACTTAGGATTTATTGAATAATTCTAAGGTCTCTTAGTGTGCTGAAACCGAATATCCAGTTTTGCTCAAACACAATTATATATATATATATATATATATATATATATATATATATATATATATATAAACGATATGAAACTAAAAACAAACTGTGGAAATCGTTGAAGCATTTCATTAGTAATTTTCTATGAAATAACAAGGTTCCCCATTACAAAAGCCTCTTTGAAACGTATGCATACAGCAATGCTCGAAGTTGTAGAATAAGTTCGAATGTCCATTCCTTACATTCCCATGTGGATTACTTTCCACAAAACAACTGGGGAGATTTCACTGAAGAGCCAAGGGAAATTTTTTAAAATTATTTTCAATACTGCCGGTTTACAATCTGTTCACCTGGAAGGGACAGATTTGACCAAAATTTAAAAGGTAATGAGAGACGTTACCGCGAAAATTGGGATGAGCCTGTGACGGGGGAGAACTGTCGTATGAAAAAGTATGGAACTTCGAGAACACCCAAAACTGAAAAGGACGAGAAACAGCATGAAGAAGAAGAAGAAGACGAAGAAAGTATCTAAAGCAACTCCAGTACATAAAATGCTAAAAATGTATCAACTCAGCTCCAGGTCACATTTTGTTTTCTTAGAGATTTTAAAATTAACATTTTCGAATGTTCCTAACTGAATTCATATTCCAGCTATTATGTCATTTGCTCAATTTTTGGTCTCAGCGAACAAAAAAAGACCTACACATTGCACGAAGATGTCCGGAGAAGAAAGAAAGAACAAAAAGTCTGCGGGCTTGTATAAGTAGTTACACACGAAATTGTCAATCGGCATTTAGGAATTTAATTTCAACTAAATAAATTTCCTTTTGTTCATGTTTGGGGTAAATAGTTATCTAACAATTAATAGTACTGTTAAATAATACAAAAGTTAATGTAATTCAAGATATTTTGTTACTAGAAAAGACCTGGTTTTTTCCTTCAAAAATATTTTTCCATTGCGGCCGTACAAATAAAGATTTAATTGCTTTGTTTCTAAATTATACGATTTTGTTTTTACACAGAACTATCATTCATCTTCTTACGAACGTCCACTTCTTACGAACATCAATTTCAGGAAAGTACGCAAACGGTGCCCTTCATCATCTTCATCTTAAAAAGAAACACGACGGTATTATCTCAAAAACGCAAGTTTGCGATGGGAAAAAATTGTACATACGAGCCAAAAAAAGCGCAGCATAAACCACAATTTCAGTGAAGTGCTTGTATTAAAAATGCACGAACGGAAAAAGTAAACAAAACACAACTTCTAAAAATGCCCTTCACTTAAAAGCATTTGCCTAATGTCTCCCAAGTCATGCAACACCTGTTGTAAGACTTCGCTAGGCTGGGCACATCTAACAGAGCATTTTGGACTTCTTACACATCCAAGTCCCCTTCTCGGACTTCAATTGTTCTCCTTCGATTGTTACGACGAACTTTAACGACTGGAACAAAACACACGAAAAGGATTTTTTGTGCAATGAAAAACCTTCCAGAAACAATGGAGCGTATGGGCTGCGCGCCGAGTGGGTCGAATTCCAAACAACAGTAGCCAATTGTCTCGGAATAGCAGTAACAGCGGGATCAACGTTTGGGTATCAGGTTTGATCCAAACATGAATATCCTAATTCGGTTGTTTTGCGAGACGTGATGTGTGCTATGACGTGAGATTCAGCTCAAAAGATCTATCAAAATAATCGTATTTGTACTCAGTTGGTACCAGTTAAATCACATTTTCCGCCTATCATATACTGAAATTTCACTATGAATCCCTTTATGAGAAGTAAGATATTAATGACAGTGAGAAAGTAAAATTAAATACACATTCTATTGCTATCAGCTTTTATAAACTCAGAATTAAAATAAAAAAGGGGTT